CCCCAAAACCCCAAAACCCCAAAACCCCATAATCTTGAAATAACTCATCAAGTTGCAGAATTAATTCAATTAATAATGTTAATATTCATCACATTGTGTTTTGTAATGTTAAATTTTCCAGTGGTTTTATCTTTGTTCTAGAAATTCATGGGGTTATCAATGAGGCCTGACTTCATTGATACTTAAACTGTGAAAAATTCATTTTTGTCAATAATAGCTTATTTCAAAAGCACATCCTGCTTGATTGTCTTTTACTGTTGCTTGTTGCATCTGAAGTTTTCAAATCCATTTCTAATCAAAGCCTTTGACCTGAATATCAGCATTTTCCTCAGATTTTATCTCTTCTTTTTACTATATCTGACAAATGATTTCATTCCTTAGACTATCCGTTTTAGTTTATATCTATTAAGCTAGTCTTAAATTTTGCTTATATTAGAGTATCGCTTGTCTACTTTATCCTAAAGTCTTCTCATGAAATAATAGTAGATGGTAAGTCTATGATTTCTCTTGGCCTTTTTGTATTTTACGAATAATCTCCAAGCCATTATCATTTAATCAATTTACTGTAACTAGAACTCTTTTTAAACTTTTTAAAGCCATCTTTTCTCAATTATAAGTATTTTTCTAATCTTTCTCCACAAAATCTTCTTGAAAGTCTTTACTTTTTGCTGCCTAAACTTATTTGCCTTCTCTATAAGATATCTCTTATATTTTATTGCTCTCATTGCATATTTCAAATGTCCCATGTATCTCTTGATCAAATAAAAATTGCATCGGGCTGTTTATCTGAGAATCTTTTGATTAATCCTCCAAGAGTATTCAGCTAAGATGTCAAATGATTAAATGATGTCTGAGCAGTTTTACTTTTCAACAGTATTTTCAATAGATTAAACTAGCTAAGATAGATTTTAAAAAGTAAACTTTTCTTTGTAACAAACTATTTCTGGTGGAGATTGGTATGACTAGTTGCTTTTTCTCAAATGCTAGAGTTGAAGTTTATCAATTGACATCGCTAGTTGATTTTAGTTGGTGGGTGAAGAATTCAAGGATTAGAATTACTCTGTTTTAACCCCAGATTGTCTCTCTCTAATAGTGGACTTGAGAGCATTTCCAATAAATTGACCATCATACTCCATTCTATTCAGTGCTTAGGTCATTCCTGACCTTAGTAATTTGCTCATTTGCAGGTTTTAATTAGAGTTTGGTGAGAGAATCTAGCTATGGCTCTATAGATTTTGGGTATTGGAATTTATAGATGATTTTATCTACTACGAGAAAGGATTACTTAGTACTAGGTATGAAGGATTATAGTCATCATCATTTAATTGCTACTGCTAGTTATTTGTCAGTTCTTATTGTGCCAATAGATGATTTACACCTTTAATGCCAAAAGTGTTCTCCTTAATCTCTTCTATAGGCAATACACTCACTCTCTGATTCAGGGAGCTTCTGTTGCTCAGAGGATTATCCATTGTTTCCTTTTAGTTAGATATATTAATTTCCGAGGTGAGAGTCTGTATTTAAAACTAAGGCAAATTAGAAAATGTACTATTTTGGATCTAGTTATTGCTAATATTTAAGTTAGCATTGCTTTTAGTAGTATTATTTTCTCTTCGAGTGGTATTAGAAAGTGATCTCTCTCTGGAAAAATTGTCCAGTTAGTTCTACAGTTCTTCTCGTTTTTATTTGATGTTGTTCAAATTCTTGGCTGTGTACACTTGGAAGGTTACTGATTTCTTCACCCTCTTTTTAGAGGAATTTCTGTTATTAGTAATAGCAGATTAGACATCATCTTCCATTGAACTCACTGTATCATTGAATATTCCTTGTTTTGGGAAATGGGGAGGTAATCTTTGAGTATTACTGGTAGCGTTGGCTATGTTTTAAAACGAACTCATTGCCAAAGATGTTTAAGAGTTGATTGAGTTGGTTTTTTGCAACAAGGATTTGTCTAAGACCTTCTCATATCTCGATCTTAAATGCTCATAGTAATCTTTCTTGTTCATTTAAATTTGAATAAAACAATATAATTATCATAAATCCAAAAATCTAATTAAAGTTGATCTTTGGGGTTTTGGGGTTTTGGGGTTTTGGGG